TATTACTATTGGTCGTGTTTTGATAACCCCGACTACGGCGGCGATCCGTAGAGGGGTATAACGATATTTTTGTTTTGTTTTATAAAAGAATTTTGAGCTAAGTCTGAGGGGTACTGAATGGTCCTAGAGTCTGGACTCGTTTTAAAGAATCGAACAAAGAAAAGTTAGGAGAAGAACGTGAATCGATAGATTGAGTTTTGTTTGAGTTGAATGTTGATTGAATTGTTTTCTATTTGATTGTCTATTCTGGGTACGGAGGCGAGGTTTATAGTCTTGCAACCTTACTGAGCTATTCGCGTAGCTCACCCTTTCATTTTTCTCCACAGGTGAAAAGTGAAGCAGATTATTTTTGTTGGATTTGGTAGTTTGCCAGAAAGACGAAGATTTAGAGTTTCTATTTTATTTATTCAATTTATTCATGAAATTAATATGCAGACTTATGTTATTGAATTCATTGTTTTAGACTTCCGCTGTAGAGTCTGATTTTGATGGTTGATTTTAGAATAAATCGGATTTTTTTTTAACCCAAGTGACGATTCAACGATATCCGAAATACCGGATTTTTGGGCCGTTACAGTCACATGGTGGTATGGTCACAACGTCACATGTTGTTATAGGTCACAGATTCACATGGTGGTATGGTCACAACGTCACATGTTGTTATAGGTTACAGAGTCACATGGTGGTATGGTCACAACGTCACATGTCGGTTATAGGTCATAGAGTCATAGTTCACATGGTCCCAGGTCACACAATTATATGTTCGTGTAGGTCACAGGTCACTGGATCACAGGTGACTAGATCACAGGTCATAGGCTTGTTTATATTGCATGGTGTGTTAAATTTTGTATGTTTTGCAGGTGCCATATTACTTCAAAATGGAGGAAATTCATTTCTGTTCGAGGATAAATACTAGATGCTACCCGTCGGAGACATTGAAAAAATTGAAAGATCTATTAACAGCGGAAGAGTGGTTGTACTTTAAGAACGAGTCGCAGTTTCAACATTTATTCCATGTCCAATTTGAAGACACCCTGAAAATGGCGCATGCGGCATATCTGATAAATCATGCAGTGAGGGTCAGTGATGATAAAGAGCTGTGGTTTTTCTATAATGGTGTACCAATCAGATACTCGATCATCGAGCACGCACTAATATGCGGATTAAAGTGCGGTGAATATCCGGGAGGGTGGGAGTATAAGAGAAAAAGTCACTTTAGAGTTAAGACATTTGGAAAAGGAAAGGTGACTAAACAAAGTGTGCTCAGGCAACTAGAGAAGACACCTACTCATAGGGTTGCCGACCGGAAGAAACTGGCAATTGTGATGTTACTTGGAGGAGTCCTAGATCATGGTACAACAGATGATCACATAAACCATGATTTGGTAGACATGGTTAATGATTTGGAGTTTTGTGAAAAATTTCCTTGGGGACGTTATACATTCAAAAAAATCATTGATCAAATACGAAAGATCTTCATGAGTGGAACACCAAAGACTAAGTGGCATTGTCGGGGGTTTATAATACCGCTTATGGTAAGTTATTGTTTTGCTGTATATTTTATTTTAAAGTTGTTATATTATTTGTTATTTGTGGTGTGATATAATATTTAAATGTTGCATTGCAATTGCTACCTTTCGAATGTATCTTGAGCTTGGGTACCAATGGATGGTACATAGACATTGAAGATGCGGATCCAACGTGTCCCAGAATGTGCAAGAAGTCAATGAAACAAAATGTCAGATAGAGCTTCAGTACATTGATAATAAAGTTGTTATATTATTTGTTATTTGTGGTGTGATATAATATTTAAATGTTGCATTGCAATTGCTACCTTTCGAATGTATCTTGAGCTTGGGTACCAATGGATGGTACATAGACATTGAAGATGCGGATCCAACGTGTCCCAGAATGTGCAAGAAGTCAATGAAACAAAATGTCAGATAGAGCTTCAGTACATTGATAAACAAGATTGGCATCGGATCAAAGGTACTCACATGGTCACTTTGTCCCTTGGTCCCATAGTCCCATGATCCCTTGGTCCCTTGGACCCATGGTCACTTGGTCCCATGGTCACAGAGCCCTTACCAAAGGAGAAAGATGAAGAGTCAGAAGCAGCAAGTAAGTATCCGAGCATTCCATCATGTTATCTTGTCACATGATCACTTATCCTCATGGTCACATGGTCACAGAGTCACATGGTCATGCTTTAAACTGATTGTATTATTTGATTTATATTCAGCACATGTCGAGGGGACCCTTGATGAGGGAGAAGATTCTGGAGGGAAGGATGATGAGGAGGAAGATGAATCTGAAGAAGAAAGTGACAACGATGGTGGCGGGAACGCAGAAACAGCAAGTAAGTATTCGACCATTTCATCATGTTATCATGGTCACAGAGTCACATGGTCACAGAGTCACATGGTCACAGAGTCACATGGTCATGCTTTAAACTGATTGTATTATTTGCTTTATGTTTAGCACATGTCGAGGGGACCCTTGATAAGGGAGAAGGTTCTGGAGGGAAGAATGATGAGGATGAGGACGAATCTGAAGAAGATAGTGACAACGATGATGGCGGGAACGCAGAAACATCAAGTATTCGACCATTTCATCATGTTATCATGGTCACAGAGTCACATGGTCACAGAGTCACATGGTCATGCTTTAAACTGATTGTATTATTTGCTTTATGTTCAGCACATGTCGAGGGGACCCTTGATAAGGGAGAAGGTTCTGGAGGGAAGAATGATAAGGACGAGGACGAATCTGAAGAAGATAGTGACAACGATGATGGCAAGGATGACGACGACAACGATGAAAAGAATGATGAAGAGGCAGACAAAGAATCCTCTGCTCCATCCGTGAGGATGAAGATGAGTCTGCTGACGATGAAGATAAATCTGATGGGGCAGACAAATCTAATGAAGCAATGGAAGTTGTTGAAACCAATGTAACTGAAGGTCCTAATGCCACTGAACTGCCATCTGAAGGTCAAACTCCCTTGAAAGAACTTGTACCTGAATCTTCTGATGCAACTTTGATGACAAGAAATAAAAGGAAAGTTGTTGATGGACCCTCCAAAAGAAGCCCCTTCGTAGAACCAGTCTCAAGTGGTCCACCGGCGAAAAGCACTCGGTCCATCGCAGTAGTAGGCAGAGGGAGAGGGAGAGGGAGAGGCAGAAGCAGAGGTATGGGAAGAGGGAGAAGTATGGGCAGAGGCAGGGGACGAGGAAGAGGCAGAGGGAAAAAAAACCCAGGTGGAAGAAGATGTTGCTGAGGTTGAGGATACAATTATTGAGGCTGAAGAAGATGTTGCTGAGGTTAAGGATACAGTTGCTGAGGCTGAAGAAGATGTTGTTGAGGCTGCAACAGAGAAAGGAGACCCACCTTCATCGGATGAAGGACAGGAGTTCTATGGATTCCAGATCGGGTTCACAGTAAAGGTTTTCCAATCCGAAATCAATCATTTGTTGAATCAGCTAGTCCACAAGTCGAGGCTTTATGGAACTTTATGAAAAAACCACGAGAAGAGCGTTTATGGATGTCTGCCCTTGATGTAACAAGGATGACAAATTTCTGGGATGAGCTCATACAAGTCGGAAGATGGCTTGCAGATACTATAAGTTTACATCATTTACACTTTTCCACCTCTTATATGTAATTTCATGGTCCCATGGTCACATGGTCTCATGGTCACATGGTCCCATGTTCCCATGGTCACATGGTCCCATGGTCCCATGGTCCCATTATAGTAAGGTTTATATCATAATATTTGTTGATATTTGTTGTTGTTGTTTTTAGCACATGAGAGAGGCAATGTATGAGCTACGCATCCGTGTTTTAAAGAATCCTGTGACCTATATAAGGAGCAACTACATGGTAAGTGATACTATGTTCCCGGAACGCTTGAAGCGGTGGGAAAACTCTGGAGACCTAACTACTTTGGACGATCTCGAATCCTACTTCAATGGAAAACTTCCAATTGGGTGTGCTGGGACACCGTTGATCAGCTATGATGGATTTGTAAGTGTTGTCAGCATTCCATCAGCCGAAAGCGATCAAGTACGTTGTCATTGGGTCACCATTAAAGTTAATTACGACGAAAAAGTGCTCCAGGTTTATGATTGTCAATCGACAGCTCGAGAAAACGTATAAAAAGTAGTTCAACAGTTAAATCATGCCATTTCGAAGGCATGTATCTTGGCTGGATCAGAGGCATTCTCAGACGGCGATGTACTTGATGTTGAGTATGTGGAAGGACTGCCGCAAAATGCTAGCGGTGCTGATTGCGGTGTTTTCGCGGTAAAGTATGCCGACGCGATTTGTCTTGGTCAAGAACACAAGTTGTGCCCGTTGATATGTGACGACAATATCACAAAGATCCGTGAGCAGGTGGCAGCTTATATATTTTCAGCAGGCTGTGCTGAGAAGAAGAAGAAGCAGAAGCGCAAATCTTGAACTTTTATTTTAACCTTGTTGTTTTTTGTTGGATTTGAACCGAACCATGATTACCATTACCTCATTTTGTTTGGTGGTTAAACTCTAAGTTACTCTAAGTTATAAACGTTTAGTTATGGAGTTTGTTTATTTAGTATGTTTAATATTTGGAGGGATTTTTTTTTGGATGAAAATTTTGGAGGGAAAACATTTTGGTGCGAAATTTTGTGGAGGGAAAATATTAAAGAAAAAACCATCGAAAAAACTACACATTACGTTGAATAGTCAAAATGGGGTCCACGAAAACTCAAAAAACACATATTCTTTTGGAAGTTATTATGTGGGTCCCATAATACATTTCGGTCACAATGGGTCACAGTGGGTCACAATGGGTCACAATGGATCGATTTAGTTCATTTTTTAAAAGTAGTCAATGATAATGCTTTTTACATCTCTGAAACTGACTTTTACAGTATATTTAACTATAAAATAATATTTATTACAATTTTGGATTCCAAAGTTATCCTCACATATGTGCTCCTTAAGTGTTCTTAGTGGTTCATGAACACTTTTGACAATTTTGGTGTATTTGCATTACAAATCTGTCATAATATTTTGTAATTTTGTTACACGCACTATATATTTGCTATATAAACTCTGATTAACTATGCCAAAGCTAAAAAATCAAGATTTGGTCAATAATTATCTTCGTCACTTGGTCACAGGTCACAGTCGGTCACAATGGTCACATAGTGCAAAATTGCACTCGGGTCACATAGGTCACAGGCAGGTCACAATAGGTCGCAATGATTATTTATATGAAAACTTATCTAATCAGTTACATGAATACATTTAAAATGAGTTACACGAATACATTTAAAATTTTCAGACAAATTAATTAAGTCAGAAATATTTTAACAAATACATAACAATATTATACATATATTTTAACAAGTACATAACAACATTATGCAAAGTTCGATCCTACTTCTCCGCCATTATAACAACAAAGTTCAACATTATACATTATACATAACAACATTATTGTACAAATACATAGTTCAATTTTCATTAAGCATTCTATCCGAAATTGTTGATGTTGATGCTCGTGTTGCACAATAGATTTTCTTTCGGGCTTCACCGGGACTAGGAAACCGATTTTGTTTAGGCCTCCCACTTTTCCGTTTGTCTTCCACTATAGGCGGCAAAACCACAAGATTTGCAACATTTGGGTCATCGATGCTCCATTCACAACAATCGGAGACCGAATAAACTATTTCTTGATAAGCAAGACGCCATGTCTCTCGCAGATAATATGGAGAACATAAATTTGGTATAATACTCGATTTACCAACCTTATGAACTGCTGCCACGGCATGACTGCATGGGATCTTGTCGATATCAAATACTCTGCAACTGCACGTTCTATCTGCAATACTGACCAAGTGTTTTCTACCATTTTTATCCCTCACCTCAAACTCCTCTGTATTAGAGTTCAACACAGTAACCTCATACGTACATGCCATCTCGTATCACGCGTGTAACACTTTATCAATATGCGGTGTCAGATTTTGAGAATCATCGGCAGATCCTACTTCCACTCTATGCCTATCGAACCATTCCACTGTCTTTGAAAGACAAATGTCAAGCAACCCTAGCACCGGATACCTTTTAGCTTTCTTAACACATAGTTGATTGATTCGGTCCCATTTGTAGTCAATAAGTTATACCGTTCTCGCTTAAATTTACATCTCGCCCACTTCTCTGGGTCAAGTTCTTCTTTCTGCATATATTCATCCACTTTTGGATACCTACACAACAATCAAATGGTCACAAGATCACAGTGCACAAGGTGACATGGTCCCACAGTCCCAGAGTCCCACGGTCCCACAGTCCCATGGTCACACGGTCCCATGGTCACACGGTCCCACGGTCCCATGGTCCCATGGTCCCACGGTCCATGGTCCCATGGTCCCTTGGTCCAGAATCAATCAATTGATAATAATGGTTAGAAAGCTCATACCTGTTCTTTAGATCATTAAATGTGTCTTCAAACTCTTGCAATGTATAAGCTTGCGCGCATCTGAAGAACCTTTCAACGACAGTTTCACCTCTTGAACTCTTTCTTCCCATGCCTCGATTAACTTTCACTTTCAAATTATGCGCTATGTGCCTCGCACAAAATCCGTGGCCAGCTTCTTTGTATACTTCTCTGACGACCTTTATTATGCTTCTGTGTCGATCAGATATCACGACGACATCAGGTCCATCTGGGATTGCCATTGTTAACTTTTCCATAAACCACCTCCATGATGCATCTTTTTCTCTGTCGATTATACCCCAGGCTAACGGATATTGGTGGTGGTCACCGTCTTGTGCAGTTTCAATGACCAATGTGCCTTTATACTGACCTGTCAAAAATGTTGCATCAATAGCAACAACTTTACGCAAGTAGTTCCATCCTCTTACCGCTGCACCCAATGCAATGAAGAGGTATTTGAAGCTTTTCTCATCTTTGTCCAACTCAAGACTTACAATTGTTTCGGGGTTTCTCTTTTGCAGCATATACAACCACCCGAGAAATTTCCTAAAATGCTCAATAGGATCACCTCGAATCTCACTTTCAGCTATGTGTTTTCCTCGTAATGCTGTCAAATACGTTATAATTGTGTCGTATTTGGATTTCACACGGTCTATTATTTCATTTGCTGAAGGAGTACAATCAAGTTTACCGGGAAATTCTTCCTTCAAATAATCTCTAACCAATTTCTTTGTACCTTTCATAGCTTCACTTGATTCTGATACAAGCTTGCAACTATGAATATGATTGTGTTTTCTTACACTCCAACGTTTCGAGTTTGAGATCAATCCCGTACGTAACTTCCAATTACACCCCGATCCAGCAAATTTACATCTGATCTCCCACAATTTCTTATCAGACTTCCACTACAAAAAAAAATGGTCATTTCCAACGGGTAAATCCGTTGGAAATGGCCAAATTTCCGTTGGAAATTAACGTTTCCAACGGATTTCCAACGGATTTATCCGTTGGAATTTCGTCGTTAGAAATCGGTATCCGTTGGAAAACCGTTGGAATTTTCAACGGAATTGCAACGAATTTTTCAATTTCCAACGGATTTCCAACCGGCATCCGTTGGAATTTTCCAACCGGCATCCGTTGGAATTTTCCAACGGATTTCCAACCGCAATCCGTTGGAATTTTCCAACGGAATTTTCAACCGCATTCCGTTGGAATTTTCCAACGAAAAATTCGAAACATATTCCCGACCCGACCCGACCCCGACCCCGACACCGACACCGACCCCGACCTGATACCGACATCGACACCAATCCGATCCCATAGGGACA